TTCTCTATTGGTCCATTCTAGGATCCTTGTTTCTCTATTGGTCCATTCTAGGATCCTAGCCAGCTATTGTTTGTGGATGCAAGCTCAACCCGACCCCAGGGCTAGTTGAGGCTGACTCATCCTTAGTACACAACACCCACTTTAGCCAGTTTGGTGTAGTGGTTAGGAGCACGGACTCTAATCTGGGAGAACTGGGTTTGATTCCCAACTCCTCCACATGCAGCTGCTGGTGTGACCTTGGGTCAGTCACAAGTTCTCTCAGAGCTGTTCTCTCACGAGCAGTTCTTGAGAGAGAGAGAGCTCTCTCAGCCCCTCCTACCTCACAGGGTATCTGTTGTGGGGACAGGAAGGGAGAGGAGATTGTAAGCCGATCTGAGACTCCTTCGGGTAGTGAAGGGTGGGGTTATGAGTCTTTGTGGTTGGAACAGCCAGGGTATAGAAGCCAAGAAACTGCATTAGGACCCTAAAAGGCTCCAGTCCAGAATTTATCTCTGCCACAAATTCCCACAAAATCTCTGCCTACCTTACAGGGCTGTTGTGCAGATTATAATGTAATGTATATGAAGTGTTTTGAATACTGGAAGTCCCTACATAAATATTAAGTATTATTATTTGCCAGAGCTTGGATGGGAGATCAAGTGTGAAGAGATTGAAAAAGTTCTTGTATGAAGATTGCAGATCTTTTCCTCCCTTTTCTAAGCAGCGTTGTGCTTGTTCTTTAAAAAATAAAACTTATTCTGATGAGAACATCCTAAGAGAAGGTTGCTTTACAGATACGCTGATGAAGCAACATGCAAAATGAGTAGGGATCTTTGAGAGCCAGTTTGGTGTAGTGGTTAAGTGCGCGGACTCTAATCTGGGAGAACCGGGTTTGATTCCCCACGCCTCCACTTGCACCTGGCTGGATGACCTTGTGCAAGCCAGAATTCTGGCACAGCTGTTCTTGAAAAAAGAGCAGTTTCTGTCAGAGTTCTCTCAGCCCCACCTACCTCACAGGTGTCTTTTGTGGGGAGGGGAAGGGAAAGGAGTTTGTAAGCCACTCTGAGACACCTTTGGGTAGTGAAGGGCGGGGTATAAATCCAATCTCTTTTCTTCTTCTTCTTCTTCTTCTTGTGTGGAATACACTAAAATATTTTTCCTCACTGCATCACAGTTTTTTTTGTCTCTGCTTTGACTCTGCATTGGTGCTCTCCCCTTTCATATTTAAAGAAGAAAATACACTGAGAGAGCTCCATACACACTGGGAGCTCCATATACCTTCTTTTTAAAAGAAAAAAATTCTGGGAGCTCCATATACAGTCCTCCTAGCATCTTGTGCAGTTTGGCCCTTAGACAATTATTTTGCTTTTCTTTCATGTCCACTTCTTTCTTCTCCTCCTCCTCCTCCTCCAGTGTGGTGTAGTGGTTAAGCACGGTGGACTCTAATCTGAATAACCAGGTTTTATTCCCCACTCCTCCTCCACAGGAATCCTGCTGGGTGACCTTGGGCCAGTCACAGTTCTCTCAGGACTCTCTCAGCCTCACCTGCCTCACAAAGTGCCTGTTGTGGGGAGAGGAAGAGAATAGAACTGTAAACCGCTTTGAGAGTCCTTAAAGTAGAGAAAAGCGTGGTATAAAACCCTACTCTTCTTGGCTTTGAAGACAATACTGTTTTAATTTAAAAAAAATGAAAAAAAGAAAGTTAAAATAACTTTTATTTATATTTTAGTACTAACACATGTCAGCCAATGCGCTTTGTTTGAAAAGGTTTACCGCAGCAGTGCTTCTCTCCCCTCTCGTTAAATCCCCCTACCTTGCACTTCTCTTAGATATTCTCCATGCAGTTCTAAGCTTCTCTAAATGTTACTTCAGATTAAAGATCGCGGTATATATTATAAGCCTCTCATGCAATTTGCCACATTCTCCCACCCAATCATCCACCCAAATGCACAAGTGAAGAACAAATGAACAGAAAGGTGGTTCTAAAAGAAGGAAACAAGAAAGACTTAGAGGAGAGGCGATTGTAACATGCTGCTGGTGGGGAGAAACGAACCTCAGTTTGCAGAATATAGGCCTGTTTCCAGCCTAAATTGGATGTGAAACGGAGTTCCAGGTTTCTTTTCCCTGGCAGTTGATTTGCTTGTTAATTGTCCCCCCCCCACAGCTTTGGAGGCAGCATCTGAGTAGGGATGTATGTATTAAGTTTAAAACAAACAAAAGAATATCCCCAGCCAAACGTCCTCCTTTTCTGTTTTATCCTCACAACAACCCTGTGATGTAGGTTAGGCTAAACTACCATGGCAGAGTGGGGAATTCAACCTGAGTTTCCCAGACCCTAGTCTAACACTTTAACCACTACACCAGCACAAAACAAATGAAAGAAAGCCCCTAGCCAAACGTGTTTAATTTGTTTGGAACCCCAATGAAAGGGAATGATAGGTCCCTGCCACACGGCAGGGAAAAGGACACTCGAACTGCGGCTAATGTGAGCCGCAGCAAAGTTGAGACGGCGCGGCGGGATCTCACGGATCCCCGGAGCCACAGCGCCGTCGCTCCCCGGCATGATCAGATGCCGGGGAGAAAGCGACGGTGGGGAGGGGAGCCTGGCGAACTGCGCATGCTCACACATGCACAGTTTGGCCAGGAGCTGGGGATGCGCCGGCGCAAGGACGCGCCGGCGATCCCACGGTCAGCGTTGCTGCGGCCCTGCGAAAAGAACCACCTCGGTAGGTGGTTCTTTTTTTGGTGCGGAGCAGCACTGGAAGGGCCGGATCAGGGACGGAGACGGTACGCTCCCCAGATGTTGCGGTGGGATCGCGCCCGTTTGCTCCGCCCCCGTTCCGTCCCGCTCCCGGCCCAAAAGGCCTTGTATGGACAGGACCATAATGAACCACCAAATGTCATTTTATTCTTCCTCCTTCGCTCCCCGCTGTCTCTCAACAGCACCGCTTGGAGTTCAGGGAAGGTGTGCAGACCCCCCTCTCCCTCCCCCCTCCCCGCCCCCCCCCCCCCCGCCCCACCAAATTTC